GCCAAGCGCTTGCAAGCAGGGGAGGCGAGAGTAATGAGCCCGAGGTTGCAGGCCCTCTCGCTGGAGTTTACCTCGGCTCCAGCTATCTTCGCGAAGGGCTCCCCCCACACATCTTTGTCATCAGAGCCAGCCAGCTGCGCGCGTTGATATGCAACCTTGGCCCGGCGAACATGGTCAACACAAGTAGGCTCGGAAGCATCGCCGGCCTTGTGCACACTGACAGAAAAATAATCATCGATGACAAGCCCCTGGGCGCAACGATCGCCCTTGAAAGGCTTGTTCGAACACAGGCGTTGGCCGTCCTCGAGAAGACCAACGGACTCCAACAAGGAACTGTGGGCGGCCGAGCCAACCTCGACTCCCAAGTGATCGCCCTGGGCGATGGCCTTGAAACACACAAGCAGAGAGCCCTCCTCGAAAAGAAGGGGGTTACGCGCATCATCGGCTGGGTGCGCGGAGAAGCAGTCAAGCCGCGACTCCCGGGAAGAACGCAACTCAGCACACAGGCGGGCATAAGCAGTCGTGTGGCTCAGCAGGGCAGCCGGCAGCGCGGGGCCTAAGGCATTCAAGCTTTGGGGCGACCGGCAGCAAACTGGTGGTAAAAGTCTTTGCGGTCCGTCGTGGAACAGAGAACCCGCTCACGAGAGGGGTCGGCCTCGATCATGCCCAGCATTGGCCCAACAGGTATGAACAAACTCGGGCCGGCCAGACGAGACTCAGCGAAGTTCTGGCCCCGGCGGTCAATGATCATCCTGTCCTTGTCAGGGCTCTTGTAGCAGTTGAAGGCTCGGGCGAGCCGGTAGGACTCAGAGGCACGGAGGCGAGCCGGCTCAAGGTGCAAAAGGCCAAGGCTATCCCTCTCCTCCACACGTTCGCGGGCCCAAACTGGCACAAAGTCGTCGGGAGGAGGGCCGCCGTGCAAAAGAGAACGAGGCTCAAGAAACGCCATGTAAAGCTCATCCGGCAAGAAGGGGCCAGGGTCCCAACCGCCCCGACCAGAAAGCTTCAAACGAGAAACGTTCAGCGAGCCGAAGGGCTCCAGGCCTGGGAAGGCATCGTTGTGCGTGGGGACCGCAGTACCTGACAAATCAGCATAAGCATCTCCCGTGTTGGCCGAGGAGGCCGAAAGAAAAGCCATAAGCTCCGAAAGTCTTGCAATTAATTGGGGATTGCGGCGGCCCGAGTCAGGCAAGGCAAACTCGCTGACAGAGGCACCGAACGCCTTCAGATGCCGGCCCACATGCGCGACTAGTCGTTGCTGTGCTGCATTGGGAGGGCGCTGGAGAGCAGCAAGATGCCGGCCCACATGCGCGACTAGTCGTTGCTGTGCTGCATTGGGAGGGCGCTGGAGAGCAGCAAGAGGTATTGGCACACAGCCCGCATAGAGAAAGTTGAGCCCCATACAGACAATGTGCAGCAAGCGGCGATGCATCACACGCTTGCGGAAGCGACTGCTGCAATCCAAAGAGAAACGCTTAAAAGCATCTTCAAACGGCAAGGGGAGCGGGAAGACGGTCCCCGAAGGCGGTGCAGGCCGAGGAAGCCTGGGCAGATGCAAAGTAGAACGAAGAAAAGAAGAGAAGGCCGTCCTGGTACGAAGAACGGCACGGAGCAGGCCCCCAACCCAGGAGGCAAACGACACCTTAAGGTCAAAGCCAAAAGCACAGGCAGAGCCAGGGCGAGCAAGTCCAGGAGGAGGGCGGCAACAAGAAGTCACGCGTGGGCCTCTGCCTTGGGCTTGCGGGGGTACTTTGGGGCTTTGCGGGGCTTCGGGGGAGGGGCCTGAGCGTCGTCCACGGCAGGCGGAGCAGGAGGCGCCTTTGGATGCCCTAAGGTCTCGAGCCTCCGGGTCGATATCAGATCGACCTCCTTGAGGTACTGAAGAGCGCAGGTCGTCCAAGAAACAGGGGACAGGGGAGAGAACGCCCGAGTCCGGGGATTCGCAACCTGGCCTCTTCCCCTGAACATCTGCGAGGGAGGTTCCTCCAGCAAGGTGAGGAGCCAGGCAAAGTCCCACCTGCCTCCGTCGATGGAGGCTTGGTCCATCGCCACGAAAGTCAGGGCCAGGAACTCCCTGGCTCCCGCGGTGTCTTCCTGAGCCAGGCAATCCATAACATGAGCCAGGCACCACATCACATAGCCAGCCTCGCGCTGGCCCGAAAAGGTGCCGAAACGTTCTAGGTATTGGCACATCGACACCTGCGCGGAGCATTCGCTGAGAGATGCTGGGCTCGGCTGCGAGGGCTGGAGGCGACGAGCGGCAGCCTGGAACACGGCCAAGAAGAAGTCGCCCGACCTGGCCGCAAGGGCCGCCTGAAGCTTCTCCCGTCTGGCCGCACCCTTTGCTCCTATGCTGCCCCACCAAGGCAGAGAGAGCCTGGCTTTGTTGCAGCAAGGCACTCTGAAAGGGCTCCGTGGCCACCTCCGCGACAGGAGAAGGAGCAAGGGGAAGCGGGCCCACACCGGCAGGGTCCAAAGCCTGCTCTGCAGGAGGCCTCGTGCGAGGAGGGGGCCCAAGAAGAGAGGCCTGTTTGCCCAAAGCTAAACCTGGCCCCTTTGGAGGCATGAAGTGCTGCTGGTGAGGCAACCTGGCGGGCTCCGGAGGGCTCGGCTGGCCTTGCACCTGCTTTTCCAAAGCATCCTGACGGGACTGCATAGAAGTGAGCTGCTCCGTGAGCTGAGGGAGCAGGGCAGTGAGGTGAGTCATCTGGGCAGCAAGGTCTGCAGTTGTGACCCTCTTCTTTGCAGGCGGGGACCTCTTGCCTTTGGGCTTGACCTGCAGCAGAGGCTGAGCAGAATAGAAAGCCAGCCGATCGTGAGGAGTGTCGGCCAGCCAGTCGCGAGCAGCACTCAGGAGTCCGGCTGGTGCAGCAGGTAAGGAAAAATGGTGTCCGTTCCTCGCCCAGCTCCCGAAGCTGGGTCAGCACCCCACTCCCGAAGTCCACAAGAAGAACCGTCGCCTCCAGATCCACAGCTTGCTCGGTCCCCTGCTCGTCGGCAACACCAAAGGGAACCTTGACCTGCCGGGAGAGGCCCACGGTGGCCAGAGCATCGGCTTCTGCCCTCGCGTCGAGGACCGACAGAGCCAAGAAGCCGCACGGGATACACAGAATCACACCCTCCTGCCGCTTCAAAACCGGTATGGCCACGGCCTCTTGCAGATGCGAGGTCCGTCCATCGTCGGGCCAGGAGAGGGCCAGGAAAGAGAGGGCCCCGTCGGCAAGAGCTTCCACTGATGAAAGCTCCATCACTTCTCCGGAGGGAGATCGAAGCCGGCGGCTTCGCAGAAGATCTCGGCTTCGGCCAGGGAGGCAAAGGCGTGGCACACTGTGGAGGAATGCTCGAGAGCACCCATGGCACTCTTGAAGGACTTGAAAGAGATGCGAGGCCGAATGGAGTTTGGCAGACGAACAGAAGGGCGAGGTGTAGGGACCTGGTCGGCCAAAACCAATCTAGCCCAGTGACCTGCAATCCCCGCACGGGAGGCACGGGCCTCGGGAGAGGAACCTGAACCTGTGAGGGCACGGCAGGAGTGCACACACCTCTGGGGCACAGGAGGAATTGACTCCTCAAGCCGGTTGTAAAGACCAGTAAGCTCAGCAGAGGAAAGCGAGGAATGGTGGGCAGCCTGCGGCACAGAAGCAGAGGGCCCCGGAGCCTCACGGGAACCCGGCTCTACGGGGGAGCTGGGGTCTACTACCAACCAACCACTATCAGAACCTCTAGGGCTGGAGGGGTGTGCGGGCCGAATGGCAAGGGAGAGGCGCTCGAGTGACTCAGCAAGGAAAGTGATGGCCTCAGGCAGGCCTTTGTCGCTCATACAAGTAGGCACGAAGTCGAAGGTCTGCAGGACGAGCTGGCGAAGGAGGAGTTTGCTGAGGAGTTGGCTGCGGCTCCCGGGGAGGAAGGGCAAACAAGGCTTCCCTGAAGAACCCTAAGGTAAGAACCACCCCCAAAAGGACCCCGGAAGCAAGGCAAAACACAATCACGAGAAGAGAGCCCTGGCAGTGGCTAGGGCACCCTAAACCCCACCAATTCGACTGCACACCAACCTGAAGTAGGCCAAGGGCCTGCTCGAACCACATGCTTGAGCGGCATTCGTTTCCGTTCGTACCTATAAGGCGACAAAGCATGTGTCCATGGGCATGTGCTTGCGCGTTAAGTCCATGGTCGCTGAAGGGATGCAGGAGCCGGACATGTTAAGAGTCATTGCTGACGAAGAGGGTCGGAACCTGCCTATTCTGCCAGAGGGCGCTGCCGCACAGGTGGACATTCAGGCCGCCGTTGCTCGTGCGCTGACAGTTTCGCCAGATCAGCTGGGCGCCCGGGGAGTGGAGCTTCGCATTCTCTCGAAGCATTGTGCTCTTTGTTACCAGCTCGTGAAGGATCCCTCCAAGATCAAAAAAGCACTGGCAGGAGTCGCATGCCGGTGAATGGCGCCCTGTCGGCCACCTTTCCGTCACCATGCTCTTTCTGTGGTAGTGTGGCGAAGAAGGCCTCGGACCACTGCGTTAAGTGCTCGGCGTTGTTTCAACTTCTTGCTCACCTGAGTCTCGTTCGTGGTGGATGGCAAGGGCCCGGTGCGCAGCGTGGTCCATCTTTGAAGCAGTGGCAGGTTTCGGCGACGTACAAGCAGTTCAAGCCTGAGCTTACCCCGATCGGGCGCTTCTTGAGCTTCAAGGGTCGCGGTGAGCAACAGGAGACTGGTGAGCCATTGGCGGCAGTTGAGTCGCCGCCGACAAAGCAGCACCCTCGGTCTGCTGACTCATATGAACGTCTGGCGCAAAGCAGGGGCCCAGGTGGTGCGGTGGTCTCCTTGGCCGTTGAGGGCAGTGACTGGGTCGGCCGGGTTGCGCTGGCAAACTCAAACAACCTGTGCTACCTGAATGCTGCTTTTCTCTCTCTCTTGCACTGTTCGGACTTCGTGATCAGGACTGAGCACCGTGGAGTCCAGGCCTTGCGTCGGTCCCACTCTCGGGGCCTTCTTCTCACATCGCAGCTGCAGATTCGGTCCATACTCGGGTCGTGGTCTTTCGATGGTCCTCAGCATGATGTGGCGGAGTTTGCTGCTGTCCTTCTTCGGGGCCTGGGTCTGGGTTCTGCAGTTTGGGAAGCTCGTCGTCATGAAGATGGGGCGACTCGTGCCTTGCATTCAGGTTCCCTTCCGCTTCTCATGCCTCCGCCAGCACAAGAGTGCATGCTACAGGATTGTGTTCAGGCTTGGCACGGCCTGCTCCGGAGCTCCTTCTGCTACAGGTTTCACGTCATCGGGATGGTCGCAAAAGCTTTGTTCCGGTGTGGCCAGATGCTGAGGCGCGCATTCCTTTCTTTGGCGATGGGCTGCAAGTTGTCTGGTTGCGCTACAAGGTCCTTGCTGTGGCGGAGCACCACGGCACGGATGATGGCGTTGCAGCGGTTGTCACGCCATTGGATCGCGGACGCGCGGAGCTGTCCTATTTGTTCTGGGCAGCGCGGGCTCAAGAGGGGGAAGCTTCTGTTGCTGATTCGCCGCATATATCTGCGGCTCCCCCACTCTAAGCAGCTATGTCCCAGGAGGAGATGCCGGATGCGAGCATGCTCGATGGCGAGCAGGAGTGGAACTTTTACACCAAGTACTGGCCCAGTGGGCCGGGCATGCCGGCGCCTCCTTCCTCAGAATGCTCCACGGCGGAGCCGTCAGGGGGGGCTGAGGAGCGCGAAGCTAAGGCTGCAAAGCTGCTTGAATCCTAAGGAGGACAGGGACGTGGTAGTGGCGATGGAAAAGGCTTTGCGGGCAATGGTGGATCGGAGCGTCCGGCTCCCAAGAGCCCTCCGGGCGAAGCAGCGCGACATGCCTTCGCAGTGACGCGGGGCGGGTGGCGGTGGTCGTGGAGGCCGCTCATAACGGGTACGCTGGACGCGCGTCATGGTCTCGAGCTGGAGGGGAGATGATCACGCCGATGATGGTGGCGACTGGTCCCTCCGCAAGGAGGTGCAGGACCTGAAGTATGCGGTCTCCTTGATGCAGGCCTTGATCCTTCGCCATGAGGACGCCTCCATCTTGGCGCGCATTGAAAGCAGCTTTTTGATCCACTTGAAGCTGAACGTACCGGCGTCGGTGGTTCCCATGCTCTTCACCTCGGCCGTTGCCTGGAGAAACATCAAGGCGGAGGAGCCGCAGCGTTTGGACCGGCCGATGCGCTGCGCGTTGCTGGTCTGTCTGTTCGCTGAGCTGAAGGAGCGCATGACCAAGGTCGTTCAGGAGCCGGAGCGGATGGAGGAAATGGCAAAAATGGGTTGGCTGGCCGTGGGCTCGCCCGTGGTGTGGCACTTCATGCGCTGGGACGTGGCCAAGCAGCAGCAAGTTGTGGACACCTCGAACCCTCCTCTCAGCCAGGCGGAGATTTTGGAGCTTATTGGCCGCCTCATTGTGTTTTTGATCCCGTGGAAGTTTGCCACTGCGCGGTTTCATCCAACGCGACCAATGACCCAGGTGATGACCGGCCAGAACCTCGTGTTCCTACTCCAAACGGGGCAACATGGGGAGTCGTCGGCCGAAATGCGAGATGGGCTGCGACAGATATGCCATAGCTCTGTTCTGCACCTGCTAGCCGCACAGCTCAAGGAGGACAAGCATGCGCGCTCAGCGCTGGCGAACGCCATCGCGGACTATCTGACCAAGAACGCTGCCACCCGCTGAGCGCTTCATTGATCTTGAGGATCCGCTTGGCAGCTCGCTGCGGGATCCACTTTTAGTGGCCGCTGTTTGCAGTGAGCCTCCTTGGTCTTGGGCAGTGGTAATAGCCGTTCTTCCTGTAGAATGCCAGGGACTCTCTATGAGCTATGTTTCGCTCGATGCACCGTACTTTGCGTGACGAGATGAGCTCGTGATGGGTCTTGGGGCCTTTACTGTCTGGGCCTTATGGCAATTCTGCTGCAAGCCTTGATGTTGCTGCCCCTTGCATACCTGGCCAACTGGCCTACTGATCGCACGCATGGCCTACCGGCCTACCTGATCGAGTAATCGTCTGCGGTGCGTCTCTCAGTGGCTTCTCTTTTCTTGCTGCGTGAGGATTTGGCACGGCAGCTTGGCACTGGCTAGGGCGAGGTTTGTTTGCCATGGTAGTTGCAGTCTCTTTGTTGGGTCCTGACTTGGAGTGTGAGCTCTTGGACCTTACGTCGGATGACGAGACTTCGGATGGCAGCGTGACGCAGTCTATACGCCGAGTTCCCAGCTGGTAGCGCCTTTTCTGACGCAGCCATCGTATGTGTACCATGGTGTGTATTGTGCTGGTGCTCGGGATCTTATGCCGGTCGAGGTGGATCTTAAGTACGAGTTTCTGCAGCGAGATCTGTACTTGGTCAGAGGGGTGCAGGCTGAAAAGCTTTCGTATCCATCTGATGATCCGGCTGAGCTTCTTGCATTTGCCATGGTGGTGCACGGGCAGGCGAGCTGGACGCAGTTGCTCCGGCTGACTAGGCTGTTGCCTAGAGACAAAAACTTGCGATGGAAGCAAACCGAGGAATATGCCCAGCAGCCGCACAAGTTCACGACTGGGGCGTGGAACCGGGGTCCTATGACCGGCCTCACACTCACTACTCGCTCTTTTCCGTGGGTGACATGTGTGCTGGCGAGCATTGTTTCTACATGGGATGATTCATTGCATTTCAGCACTGTCACTCTCACCCTCAACATTGTCGCGCATCCTCACGGGTGCCTCACAAAATTTGGCTCTGCCTATGTCTCGCTTCTTGGGTGGGGAGCTGTTTGTGGAGGACTCGGAGGGGCGTTCACAACTCAGCCCTGATGGCCCGCGTGGTCATCTCATGGACTTGCATGCGCCGACTGCGTTTTCTCCTCAGGCTTTACATGCTAGCCTTCCGTGGGTGGGCACTCGGCTGTTGCTGATTGCATACCTCATTGGGCAGGCTCGCAGGGTCTCTGAGGCCAACCAGCGTGCTGCTAAGCATTTGGGCTTTATGCTGGGCCATTTTGATTGAGCACCATCTTGAGTCTGTACGGCACGAGCAGAAATGAGTGTTCTACAATGGCCGTGGCTGTGCGCGCGCTGCCGTGCTGATGCTGCTGCGTGGAGTGCCTTTTCCACTGAGGTCATGCACTATTCTTGGTGCGTCTGGCTCCTGGATGGCAGTGCTTCCTTCGTGCGGCGCGCTGCTTTTGATCTGCTGGGACCTTCAGGCTGCTTCGTGGACTGAGCTTCTGAAATCCATGAAATCCATGATGCTAGCTGCAACTGTGGACCTAGTAGAAGATCGCTGAGCGGTGAGACTGTCTGTACTGTAGCTGTAGTCTTCTCTCGCTCAAGTTCCTTGATTCTGTCTTATGCTTCAACAGTTCTTTTGCAATATTCTTGTTTGCTGCACTTGCTGCTGGGCTACGGCTCGGGCGTACTGCGTGCTTGGCCCCTCGTGGTGGCGTAGTGGTGCAGCTCCTTTCTTTCCTAGAAGTTATCCAAGATAACGCTGCAATGCAGCCGGGCTCGATGAGCTTGCTCGCTAGCACGCGAGGCGGACCCCGAGACGTTCGTCGCGACTCCAAAGCCAGAGTACTAGTAGTAGTAGTAGTAGTAGTAGTAGTAGTAGTGGTAGTAGCAGCAGCAGCAGCAGCAGTAGTAGCAGTAGCAGTTGCAGTAGCAGCAGCAGCAGCAGCAGCAGCAGCAGTAGCAGTAGCAGTA